TTTGACTTGGAAGAAACTCATTCGCCAACTCAAACTGTGATACATGTACTTCACTGGATATACCCTCGTCAGAAGTATGTGGTATGATACACATCACCTCAAATGTAGTATTCCCCTCCATTATTACTTCACCACAAACAGGATTAACCTCTGTAGATGCATTTAACGTGTCTCCGGTTGAAATAGCATGTGGGTATTGATTGGAATGAATGTCGATGTTCATCTTCCTTTGCATGACCTAATAATATAACCAATAGAATATATTAATATTGCAGATTATTTCAAGAGTGTATTTTGTTAATGTATGCATATGTATGTGTGTATTATGAACCATGTATGTTTATGCATACATGTTTCAATTAAAGAATAGTGAAGGATGTGATAGAAAATGTATTTAGAAAATCCTAAAAACATATGTAAAACTGAATGCATAGGTATATAATTGTATTCTGTAATATGTATGCTACAGTATTCATGAGTAAACTGAAGGATAATAAAATATTTTTTAAAATTTATATTTAGATAATCCTGAATACATATGTATAACTAAATTAACATGTATAGACTTGTATTCTGTAATATGTATATTCTTGTATATATGATTAAACTGAATAATAGTAAAAACTAAATTGCAGTATATATTCTGAATATAGTTATATAAACATATACTAAAGAGATTAAAAATTGTTTACCTCTGAATTCTCCTCAACAGCTCTATCACTCTGTGTTTGGCACTTGGATTATCTGGCAAGTTGGTATCAAATGACATTTGAATACCATCATCATGTCTCCCGATATATTTCTTTCTCTGGTATACCCTTTTTGGATTCTAATTGGCTTTAAGCTGGTCGGAAAGCTTTTGAAATTTTCATCAATCAATGTTCGTAGAGAAGTGAACTCGCCCATCACCTAATCAATACACAAAAAAATTAGAGAGGTGTTAGAAAGCTATATTAAAGTTAATATATAAATGGTAAAGTAGAAAATATTTTACCAATACTCACATAATCTTTGAACGAATTTAGATCCTTCCTCAAAAAAGACAAATCATCTGATTTCTCTTCTGCTGGCTTCTTAACATGCATTTCAGTTTCTTTGATTCAGTTATGCCAACAGGAGGAGTCTTGGATTGAGGTATTGCCAACACATGTGGAATTGAACTCTCTACAGTTGAGGGATCTATAAGCTGATATTTGCGCTTTTTGTGAGGCGGTGATGAAGATGGACCAACACTTGCATCATGTTTCTTCTTAGGCTGAAGAAGCGGTGTATGACTAAAGTCATCTGAATCATCTTCATTGTTGTTTGAATGAGTAGGATTGTTCACTACATCAACGCCTTCTGGAGGAATCTGAATAATAGCAAGCTCTATATCGCTTAGTTGAATGTCACTGTAAACAATCTGAAAATAGAAATACCCCCAAAATAAACAACCTTTGCTGAATGATCACAAAATTATGCTCATTCAATTACATATATATCTATAAACTGTTTTTTGCATTCTTATGTATTCCTATTAAATTATAAAACAGAGAAATAAGTTGTATGTTGTATGCAACTATATTTAATATTGAATTCACACACTGTATTATGTAGCATACAGTATGTGCCATAATTTTAAAACAGGGACATTGATATATGATGCATTGAACTATATTTTAATAAAAATTTCAACAATGATTTCACTAACAGAAATATATGCTTAAAAAAGTTCAGCCACTTAACAAATAGTAAATTACCATATTTTCTTGGTCATTGAACATGTCGTTCATCAAATAAGAATAAGTTGGCTGGTTGACAGTGAATTTCCAATTGAGTATTCTGGGTATCCGGTTATCAACTTGCCGTGCAATTTTGGGATCAACATTTGAACAACACTCGTAAAACTATACTTGCATAGCGAGAGGCATTCCCGCTATCCTATAGTACTTCTTTTGCGAATTCATCTTTTTGCTAATAGATCTAACAAGGTTTTGGAATGCATCCTTACCCCATGGATAATCAAAATATCTCTCACTCTCGACCAAGTCAAAATGTTTTCTTGGGATGGTAAAAGTGTTTTTCTCGGTGGAAAATATGAAACTGTATATGAAATACAACACGGCTATTATGACGGCATCCCCATCGTTGTCATGACCCCAATTCTTGTCATCAAAGCATTTCAACAAGTTTTTCTTCTTGACATTCTTTGCACCGCCAAAGTATGTATCAACAATCCTATTAGGCACCTTTGTGTTAAACTGAAAATCTTCAGGATTACCAACACAATTGAGACCAGCAACAAGCACAAACTCCCTGATTAAAAAGGATAATGTTGTACCATTTACGTATATTGAAAATGAATCATCATCAGATCCTTCCAACTGTAGAACCATGAAGCACCTGAACAATTGATGTTGGACCTCACAATGCTTCATATCAAGAAAATTTCCAAAATAAGTAGTACCAAAAAATTTGTACTGTTCTGGAGTAAGTTTTTCTTTGAGGTCGGATACTATGTCCCTGTTAGTGTAGGAACTGATATGCAATGATAAAATAGGTGGTATTTCACAAATAGTTTTATTTCCTGCATACAACAAAAATTACAAAAAAAAAATTATAAAACTCTTGTAATACAAAACTCATTCATGTTTTGAATGAACTTCTGAATACATTAAAATACATCTAAATACAATATGTAAAAGGCACTGTAATAAGTACAAATCAGTGAATGAACTTTTCAATACATCTAAATACAATATGTAAAAGATAGTGGGATAATTACAAATCAGTTAAGGTATTTTTGAATACATATAAATACATCTACATGCAATATACAAAAGTCATTGAAAAAGGTAAAATTCAGTGAATGCACTTTTGAATACGTATGAATACATCAACATACATGTATACCATATCAACATAAAAGGAGAGAAAGCAATGTATCCACTATTGCACACATATAAATACAATAAAATACAATAAGAGAAACCCTTTAGAGAAGGTAATACTCAATGTATGAGGACTCAAATATATATAGATACATCAACAATTACCTTTTCGTCCTGTGTATCCGAGCTATTTCCTGCATCGACCTCCTTTCCCTTAACACCGGAAGCATTATCCATAGATTTTCTTCTCTTTACTGTATTGGGAATTGTTAATTCTTTCGAAGATTTCTCAACTTGGACTTCTGTCGATGTGTCATTACGTATTTTAGTTCTCCTCTCTGCAACTGTATTTGCTGCTGAACTTGCAAATTTCAATTCCGCTTGAGAGATTTGCAAAGAAAAAAGGGGCCCATCGAAATTGAGTGCTTTGGTGGGTATACCTCTGGTAACCTTCTTCTGGGATGTTGAATCCGCCATTGGAGAGGAACTTTAAAGTTTTCTGTTGGAAGCATAACAATGGTTATTATTTATAAAAAAAAAATAGAAAAGATAAAGAGAATAAACACAAGTAAAAGCGAAAATTTTACAACTTAAATACTTATCACAACAATTTGGAGCAAAAAATATAGAAAATTGAGAGAGACGATGCAGATGAAGAAGTTCAGAATTGTGGTTTCTGAGAAAGGGAAAGAGAAAGGGGATGAGAGTGAGAAAAATTGGAAGTTTAGAATCGTGGGTTCTGGTATTGTATTCGAGATTGGCGATGTGAGTGAGAAATTGGAGAGAGAAAATGTGTAGAGAGAAGTTTTACATCAAATACGGTAATTTTGTGAGAGAAAAATCTGAAAGAATGAGAGAAAAATAATACAAAGCATATTTATGGCTTAAGGGTAGGAGGTGACATAAATAAATATTTGGCTATAAAAATCAAAAGGCAGCTATGGAATATAATTTTTTAAAAAAGTTTTTATTTAAAATAAATAAGGTATCAACCTTTGCTACAGGATGTGAAAATTTCAATAAGAAACAGTGAAAGAACAAATCAAATAGCAACAAGAATATGGCCAGTGCAATCAGTTAAATAACAGAATTAAAGTTACTGCTCTATCTTGTTTGAGCATTTAATTCAATAGAAAGCCAAAGAAAATCTAGGGGCCTGTAGAATTCAAGGGACAATAAACTTGGTGAAGCAAAAGATGCAAAGCTCTAACATAGAAAAGACGATTCAGTACACCCATAACTATTACTTTAACAAGTATCACAACTGACAATGTGCTGATACTTCTGCTCCAGGGCTTTGATTTAGTAGCAAGAGCCCAACACGTGATGTGTGAGTTAAGGCGCATGTCATCCTACCACAAACAAAAACTAAGTGTTTGACCAAGTTCTGAACCATGGACCATTGGTCCGCATGGATTTTTCGGTCATTAAAAAAAAAAAAATATGCCGATACTTCCTAGTAAAAGGCATCAAGGTGGTAGCTAATCTACAAGCTTCCTAGTTAACCTGATCCCACTGTAACCAACCAGATTCAGGTATTATCGGTTCTGAAGAGCAAAATCTCTTATGGCAAAGATGAATAGGATCACCTGAGAACTACAGTATTGATTTCATTCAAGCGTGTACAATATATTGCTCGGGGATAACTTTTTACAAGTATTTATTCCTGCAGTTTGTTCTGTACACAAGAAATTACAATACAACAATATGATAGAAACACCATGTGAACACTGTGTCTACTGGTACAAGGATATTACATTTCCAATTGAACTGCCGATCGACCTGCTCCTGCACTACTACAAAAATGAGTGCTACATGCTATAGTGAACTGCAATTTCAGGGAGGCCGATCCTTCTGAAATATTGAATGGCCAACCAACTAGTAAATGACACGTAAGCTAGCAGGAAACAAACTCTCTTTAACCGGACTTTATTGAGAGACAGAGTAAGCATTCTTGTCACAGAAAGTTGATAGATGCGAGAGATCAACCTTTGTAAGAGTGCAAAAAAAACTATTGATATCATGGAAGTACAGAAACCAGCAATAACTCCAGCTACAGCTTCCCATCTCCAGTGCCAGGCTGAAGTCCCGCTAACATACCAAGACTTTAATATCCTCATGAACCTGCCACAATAATATCCAATTAAGACAAATGAATAAGGCTAGCAATAGAAAATCAAAACTATTAATGCTAGTGAGTGTGACCTTCATGCTGTTTGATCTTAATTTTTGACAAATAGGGTGAAGCAAGAAACATGGAAATGGTAACTCATAGCAAACTGACAACTAGGACTCAAAGAATCGTACTTATTCTTGGCAGGCTGCTAGAATATATGAGCTAACATTTCATTCCTGACAAATTTAAAGTAATATCAGATGCATAGTTAGCTTTAGCAAGCTAACAGAGACCAATTTCTAAGCTAATATATCAAATTCCAGTTTCAGGTAAAGTCAGATGCAGAGTTACTGTTTCTAAGCTAACTCCATACTTTGAGCTTATTCATGTTCAGTTCAAATTACCAGTGTAGAAAATGTCAACTCTAAACCACTTCCGTGCCTGAATCCCAAACTAAAGTAAGTTTTCTCAAAAAGGAGTTCAAGGAAACCATTTAATCCAGGAAATGCAGAGAGTTCGACACCGAGCTATTGCAGCAAGTTCAGTATTTAAGTAGAGAAGTTAGGACAGGCCCATTATCCCCGAGTTTCAAAGCTGAAACAACGGATAATAAAAGAGCAGTGCAAAAAATAATAAGGCAACAGAATTGAAGTAGCAAGGTGCTTGATGATGGATGAGATTCCGTAAAGGGCTGTTTGGTAGACGGATCAAAGTCCATTCTTGTAAGACAAACCCGATGCCCTTCTCACTGTGATCCCACTGTTCCCTTTTCATTCTTGTTGCACTACAATTTCATCTTCTTCCCTTTCTCCACCTCCAATTGAGCTGCAAAACCACGTGATCACCACCTACTTATGGTTTCAATCGGTTCATTGACCATTTCCCTTTCCATTGATCTACAATCCAGATCTCTCCATGTCCCTCTGCTCATTTCCTTTCCTTTTTTTCCCTGTTAAAGTTCATATTCCAGTTCCTTTCTTTATCTTGTTACCACAGTATAATTTCAAATTAGGCAAATTTGATGAATGTTCGTATAACTTCGCTTTGATAAATTCAATGATTGAAACTAATTTTTTCCAAATTTTTGCATTGAAAATAGTTCAATAAGTCGACCCTATAAAAAAATCTTGAAGACATTACACACAAACATTGAACAGGTTGAATGGCATTAACAATGGAAATCCTATCATATCCAGTCATATATACCAAAAGACCTGTGTATAATAAACACGAAGGTATACAATGTTAGGAAGCATGACTAAGATTCAGGAAATGGCACATGCCGACATTTTCCAAACTTCTTTTACTGACCAGAGAGACTAGAGCGCAATAGGAGGCAGTATCCAATACCTAACGATGCGGCATAAGTAAAAACAGAAAGCAACTATGAAGATAACATCATATCTGGGAAGCAGGAAATGCATTATATTTACCACTTATTAGTAGACAAGTGGGAAACCTCACAATTTACATTAGAAAGCTGGGCAAATCAGAGACTCAGCCAATTTGCTTGATATTATTAGGCTTTGATCCTCAAAAGGAGCAGTATGGGTGGTGCGAACAACATAAAAACAGATTAGCAAACGATGTCAAGTAATATTATAACAATAAGAAGATTCCACATCAAGAAAGAAGATCCAGGAGGCAACAGACAAAACTCCAGAATTTTTGAGAACTATTACTTGATTATATTAGCATTTGGGTGAATATTTTAATCGCGTCATGAACACAATAAAGAAGAAAAACAAGAACAACATTTTGCTCAAGTAATAATACTCACAAGATTAAATAGCGAATAAACATCTCAATAGTTGATGGATCTTTTGCTTGGCAATCAAAAAAGCCATCTTCATATATGTGCACTTTAGATATTCCCAATGTATACCAACACTCATAAGTCTTGTTTACCTGAAAAAAGAAGTGCATGACAGCATGAAGATACTAAATTTTGAAAGAAAACGAACGGGAGGAAAGTGATTCCTCTTCTAATGATCATTAATTGGGACTGTATGCTTCACATAATGCATCAGATATCTACCCAGTGAGAAGAAAGCATATATAAACAAACTGAACACTTAACCTCCTAACAATCTAAGATCATTGAGTAGAAACTCTTCGATGTAGTAATTGGCACAAACATATAAATCGAAACAAAGACAAACATTGTTCATGCTGACTAATGGCTTTCCTTTTCAGATATACCCCTGCTCAAAATTCGTAGTTCCTATTAATTTTAGAATTCATTGCTTTACATATTATATAACCAGTTGTTTGACAGCTCTATCTTCAGAACTGAAAATAGGGGGCATGCATGGATGTAACACTTAATTCATTTAAAAGGTAACAAGTTAAGGTTATCATTTGGCCAGAGTTAACTACACTTGTAGAAGGGAATACCCCAGATATAAATTTAATAGAGAAAGGAATAATGCATCAATTTTAGGAGTAAGGACCATTCCCAGAGTAAATAGAAGGCATAAGAAAAGAGTTATCACGATTAAGTGGGATAAATTTAATGTTAAGAAGTTTGTTTCTCTTACTCAAATAGGGAGCATCTATGCCCAGTATCTACCTTAAATTTATCCTTTGTCAACCATGCAGCAGAGAAGTTTGGTCTGCAATCAGATGGAAGGGCCTCATTAGGTGCCTCTGCTAATGCAAGTCGTGCTTGACCTGAATGATCCATGTATTCAACCTGTTATTCAGAAATGCATAAGCAAGCAATTGAGCAAACACACCAAAGAAACCCAAAACTAAAACAAACAAAATAGTCAAGAAAAGTGAATAAAAATGACAAGATGCAGCAACTTTCAAAAGTAATCCATATTCGGTTCAGTATAAACCTTTTTTTTTATAAGTCATTCTCCATTGACATGAAATTAACATGAGAGGATTCATATAGCCGACCCAACTTGTTTGCGACTAAGGCATAGTTGTTACTGTTGTTGTATGAGTCATTCTCCAGGATAAACATGTAAAAATGTATTTTGTTCTTCAGAAATGCATAAGCAAGCAATTCTGAACAGTCAATATCTAGGGAAGTATATATCGCTCCTTCCCACCCCCCGCCCCACCCAAGAAAAGAAGAAGAATACCAAAATTAGAACAAACAAAAATGGTCCACAAAAGTGAAATAAATAAATAACAAGATGCAGCAACTTCGACAAGTAATCCATATTTGGTTCATTCTCCAAAATTAACATGTAAGAATGAATTAGAAATGCTTTGTAACAAATGCCTTCATCTCATGGCAAGGAACCATACAAAGGTCAGAACCAAGTGATTCATGGATAACTCCGAGCTGAAAAGTTTCCAACTCTTTTTTGTCAGGTAATTTGAGCTTCAAATGCATCAAGTCCTGCTGACTAATGGAATGCCAATGAAAGAGAGAAAATGTGCACAGAGAAGGGAAGAAATGGATAAATACTTATCCAGAAAAAGGAAGAAAAATTCTTTTCAAAAAAAAGGAAAAAAATTATAATTGTCAAGAAATCTAATAACATCACCACTTACATAAAGAAAGTGAAAGTTGGGGTACATTGGGTGAAATTAGAATCTTACATGTAACACAAAAACACAATCCAATTCTATTAAAAACTAAAAGTTACAGAGCCACTTATTGTTTGCCTTCCAAACGAAATAGATATATAACATCAGGTTAATCGTACAAGAAGCTTCTCTTTTTTTGTCAAAGCAGAATTTTATTACTAATTTATCCTGGAGATGCAACTCATACAACAAGTATACAATGTTCCATTTCAAGAAATTTAACCACATTAATGGATAATCAGATACTAAGAACTTATCAACATGTACACCAAAAGAACTATAACTGGAAAATAATATCTCAAGGAACAACAAATAGTGGTAGTTACCTTAAATACAGAAGCCCAATAGTAATCATAACGACATCGAAACTTCTTTCTTTCAGAAGGGTAAAGAACATGCTTTGCTTTATAATTCAATAAACCCAGTTCACAGACTTTAGATGACCTAAGATCCACACCTGCAAAGAACAAAAAATAATTGCTTTCGATTGAAACTTAAACTGAGAATTAACTGAATCACATCAAAATTTGGTGAAAGACACTTAATCAGTACCCAATAAGGAACTGAGATTTTTTTGATTGATGACAAAGAACTGAGATTTAAACCTTTCTGTCCTCTGGCCAACAAGGATATGGCATTTTGTCATTCTTCCTTGTAGCAAAGTTGTAGCAATTTTACAGAAATAGTTGCAAGAAGTATAAAAATTAATGCATTTGTGTATTTCATCAAGAAAGGAATGCATTAGTGTATTTACTGCTAAACATGCTTTAATCAAATTAGGCATCAACGGAGAAAATTAATCCTTTAGTTTTGTCTAAGTAAATTGTTAGAGTAGGAGGCATGAAAACCCTATGCAAAAGCTTCCAGGCTGCGGCTGCAACATGCAATAGGGGTCATTTGGTATGTTGGTCAAAAATAAGAAGGGATATAATCCCTACTTAGAGGTGATCATGGATGGGATTGCTAGCAATCCATGGGACTCGTATAGACTATTTATCTGTATGTTAATTCTATATGGAGAGAGAGGTGTCACAAGAAGTGCTAGCCTCTATAAGGAACTTGTATAATGAGATGATCATATTTGAAGCAGGTTTCATTTAATTCTTTTATGGATTTAAGTTATATGCACTAACAGTGTAAAGTTTTTTTTTAACCATCTTTTATCAGGCTACTAATTAATGCTTATTATAGAGATTTACGTAATTACCTTGTAAGATTGCAAATGATTTTTACACCGTCAGTGCACAAAACTTAAAACTCCTCCATTATAACTAAAGTTGAAGCTAATGACCAATAAAGACATGTATCATACTTTCTTATAGTTTTAATAAATGGTGCGTGTTCTTTCCCTGAGAAGAAACAGCCCGAATGCCATATGCAACAGAAACCATGGTAGCCACTTCACAGTCTCATGACACCACATCATACGCATTCCATAACCTCCACCAGTTAGAAGGCTAGAAATCACCGGTGCAACCATTAAGTGTCAGCCAATTGTTGAACTATTAAGATACTCGAAGTAACTTGTATCTAAAAGCTCTTCCCTCTTGAACCCATGATTAATACACAAACATGAAATCGAACTTTGTACATATTCAGAACCCATAAGAAAAAGAAAAAGAAAAAAGCAATGTACTTTACTAGCAATGTGAGACAGAAACTTGTCATAGCAGCCGAAGATAGAGAAGACTCCGGATAAATTTTCCTACAAACTTTGCTCTAAAGTCTCAACCACATCACTTTGAAAGAATATGCTACTCTTAAATTGGCCTAAAAGACATTAATCAGAAAATACATAAGGAATGGTACTACTACCTTTCCTTTTCGCAAGTAAATGGTACTAGTATAACTTCCAATTTTCCTTTAGCATTTCCCAATAACTAATTTTACTCAAAATCAAGAACAAACGAACTCAAGTTAATAATTTGACTTGTTTGGTTCCAGGAAAGATTTTGAGCCATATGATGCTAACCACAGCAAGGTTGACCCGAAGAAAACATTAATCAAAGTATTAGTAATGTTACACCAAAGTTGTTGTTGTCTTTTTTGTAATGGTAATTGTATTATAGAAGCGTAGCGTCATACAAAGATTGTGCATCCAGATTACTTCCCAAAAAGAAACCAAAAAGAAAACAGAGAAACCCCAACTATCTATCTAGTAATTCTATGAACTGTAATAGGGACTCCTCTTCACTTATCCAAAAAAAATAAGAATATAAGGACTCCTCTTCATTTACAAATTCTAGTTTACACCCAAAAAAAAAAATATGCTGTCAGATCTTATCTTAAGTGTAGTGCTTGCTTTTCCTTCAAGAACTCATCGGTTCCTTTTCTCTCCAAGTTGTCGTTGTCTTTAAGAGTATTTAAACCATATTTCGACAAAGTTTTTTGGATACCCACAATTTCCTAGCAATCAAACAACAACACAAGTATGCGGCAATTAGAGGTTAAGGTCAGCTATTCGAGTCCTCTATATCCATTCCATTCTATTTGGACACCATTCATTCGAATACTCAATAATTCGTCTTTTAGACTGACTAACTAGGGGTTCTTTAAAACTATGGATTCTTGAATCTCACATATCCTACACTTATATACATTTCTAACCAAACACACACAAAAAAATGGCAAACACTAGCAAACATCAACCTAATGAACGTCTACCAACAACAGCAAAACATTACCAGTGTAATCTTGAATCGGTCAGTGTCATTTATATGGATCCTTTTTCATTGTGCTCTGCTAATTGCTAAATCCACATAAATTTCAAAAAATTGTATCTATTTTGAAACAATTTTCCTTCATTCGGATATCAATGTACCTCATCCATTTTTTAACACATTCAATCTTCATAGCGTTGCACGTATGCCCAAGCATTAGTAAATTTACATAGGACATGAAAAAACTATGCCAGGGACCTTATCTCATTCTATACTTTGTATGTGCAACTTGTACCATCTGCTATGGTCATTTCTAACCTTGTTTATTCTTGTATTCAGCCATCTTAATATCCATACTTTCACAATGCTAGTCTTGTGGATATTTTGGGTCTTAAAGGCCTGAAATTCATTTCCATATAACTTTGCAGTCTCAAAAACATTCTATAGGGAGCCTTTCACTTTGTAGGTATCTTTTTATTGCATTGAACTCTTGTGACATCCTCCATTTCGACCATCATAACTTAAATTTATGTGTTGCATCTCCATCTATCATGTCAATCTCCTAAAAGATTGAACCAAGATATCTGAATTGCCTGCATATAACCACTTCAATCTTATCTATCTCAATTTAATTTCATTCTTTATGGGACTACTTCTACTTATCTTACCACCCTTGCTCTCAAAAATGCTTCTTTATAATTCGAGATTCTAGTTGATTATGTTTCTTGTGGGATTATACTGGGTTGGTGTTGTTGTTGTTGCTGTAGTTGATTATGTTTCCAATTTCATCAATTAAGACGAAATCATCTGCAAGAACCATCATGCACCATGGAACCCATCTTGTAAATTATTGATTAGCTCATCCATAACTAAGATAAACAAGTACAGGCTTAAGGAAAAATTTAGGTATAAACCATAGTTATGAAAAATTCTTCTATATTTCCCTCCACTGGTCTTATACTTATGACTACTCCTTTACATATCCTTTATGGCATTTTTACATTTGATACAAATTTGTTTCTTCTCTAGCACCCACTAAGTGACACTCAATGATAAGCTTTCTCAACATCAATGAATATTATGTAGAAACCTTTTCTCCTATCTCTATAAATTTCCATCAATCTTCTCAACAAAAGTTTCTTAGCAACCAAAAACAGTAAAACATACACACACACACACACACACACAGGAAAGAAGGAAAAAAAGGGGGAAATCCAAGCCACAGGAAGCTAACACAGCAACAAGGACTACTCAACCATTTGAGCTCCAATATTTGTTAAGTCTTTCAGGGATCCACAGTTTGTAAGTAAGCACACATACTCAAAAACCCAACCCCTCCAATCAAGCTCAAAAGGGATATTTTTATCCCTATGATGCTAAAAACTTTTAACTTTCTTTTCAGATAACCACAATTTCTTAGAACCAACAAGCCTCCAGAAGCAAAACCCACAAACAAAATTCAGCAAGAAAAAAGGAATTAACACTCTAAAATAAAAACATACCAACAAAATTCAGCAATAAAGGTAATTCAACTTACTGCTGGAGACAATCTTGCATTGAGAAGGAAGAGAAATTGGACTGGAAATGGATAGGTTCCCTAGAAAAACAGCTAAATAAAGCAGCGAAAATGAGAGTGAAAAGAAGGCAAAGAAAAAGAAAAGAATCCACAATAATCTGCGAAACCGTGTGGGCTCACGAATCTCCTCCTTTCTCTTCTCTTCAACCTCCTCCTGATTATCTGCCAAATCCATGGGAAAATGAAAAGTTGCGCAGAAGGGCAGTTTTGGGAATTACTTTGTGAAGATTGGGAAATTGAGTAGGGTTCCGGCAGCCGGAGATGTCATCCGGTGATCGGAATATTAAATAGGTGTTGGGTTTAGGTTGAAAATGGTGTTGGGAAGAAGATATTTTTCAAGACTTCTGCCATTTCAGGTTCAGTAGTCAGCGCTGTCGGACTCTCATGGACATTTTCAACGCGAGGCTCTAAAATTCACTTTTTGGATTTTTTCTTGTCGAGACATATTTACCCACCTTCGCTAGGTTTTTGAGTTTTCAAAAAGTAGCTAGAGCTGTTTTATAAATTACATACAAATTCAGTCAAAATATAAAACTTACTCACTCCTTTCCAATTTATATGAAGTTGTTTGACTAGGCACGGAGTTTAAGAAAAAATGAAATTTTTTGAAATTTATGGTCTTAAATAAGTGTCACGATTCGGATTTCTCACCCTCGGGAGTCGTGATGGTGCTTACTAATGTGAGCTAGGCAAGCCAATTAACCTTTTTACCCTTTTTATGTTATAACGTGTAGACAGCGGAAATTTAAAATAAGCAGAAGAAAAGCAATAAAATATTTGAACATGTAACTAATACAATTGTTTAAGCCTTGACCACCTAGAACTGGTGTCACGGTATCACAGACGATCTAAGATTTACTACATACAAAGTCACAGGACGAATGGGTCACCAGCTTGCGGACCCAGCCGGGCAGATCATGGACTTCGCTCGGCGTCCACGAAGTCGCTGCAATAAGGGAGACAACATTATTACTCAGCTGATTTTCGCTATAGGCGAAATCTGAAAAAGTGCCAAACGCCTCACTCACGTGCATAATTCCACCCTTCGGGAAATGGCAAAAACTCCACAGGGATAATGTCAGTCGTTCGGACCCAGATAAACCAACTGGCCAACTCTCGATCCCCGCTTTCCTCGTTATCAATAACAAAGGGCGTGAACGAGCGACATCTCAAAGTTAGCAGGCCTCGACGATGAAAGGGTCGATATAGCCTGACAAGGTGATCAAGCGTGAATTCAAGCCTGGCCTTCTCCGCGAAGAACCCCATCATCAACGTCGTTCGCCAAAACGACAGATGAATCTGTGCCAGGGTAACCCGATACTTCAAACAAAAATCAAGAACGACCCTATCAGGGGGGCCAAATGCGAAAGGGTGGAGTCCGCAATGCCCTCATCTGGGGAAAGCACCTGCAGTGTTATCCCCTCGCTCCACCCGCAGTATCTCCCCGCCATCTCCAGGTGTTCATCTCTTATTAAGGACGCTGTATCCAGAGCGAACTCCCTCGGTTCCTGAGCACCAGGAGAAGCACCCCCCGTCCCTTGCCAGATCGGCCCCGAAGTGGTTTCCATGACTATGGTGAAACTAACAGGTTATCTAAAAAGATAGTGAAGTTTTGCGAAAAAGCCGAAGCCGCCCCACATATATGCGAGAAGTAGCGACGATTCACCTACCCGAGGCAGGCCCGGGAAACCAACATCCTCGATACAGATCGACGGGTCAATACCCGATCCAGAAACCATCCTTCAACGAGGAGTCAAGACTCGAGGGGCCATTCGTATTATCTCCGAGCTCAAGATAGCACTCTACGTCAAACCCCCGGCCCAAAGAAGTCGGACTTCGGGAAGCTTTAAACGCCAACACTTGATGCAAGGCAAGTACCTGGTCTCGTGATCCCCTCTTTCTGAAAAGAGGAATAAACACAGGAAGCTCCGATCGAGAAAGCTCCACGAAGGTCCGAGGAAGCGCCCGAATACAGGCAAACTCCTCTGCAGAAGTCTATCCTATACATTCTTAAGGGTCTATCTACATCAAGATCAATAGGGTCCCCCGGGTACCCGAAGATGACCTTTATCCAGGGTAACATTCCCGAAGGCCCCAGAATTCGATGCATGATCTCCATACAACTCGGAGGGCCTCGATAGCCCGGACCTATCAGATCAATCCAAGATTGGTTCGAAGTACAACGATGGGTTCGGATGATAGCTATGCCGATCAGCAAAAGACCGGGACGGACGCTCGCGCCCAAGCCCGATATCAGCAGCCAGCAAACAAAAGAAAGTGTTCAAAGGGCCCCTAAGGGAATGAGAGCATACAGAAACAAAGCAAAGTTCGAAAGCAAAAATTAACGGGATATTTATTATTCATAAAAGTTTGTGTACAAGCATCCCTCGAGGGGTCGTTACATACAACTTACAAAAGCCTGCGAAGGAACGGAAGGATGTACATGCGATGAAACCCAGCGCCCAGTCTGCCCTCGAGAGTCCATCTCCGGTATCAGCATCCTCGGGCACTGCACCCTTGAGCACGTATCCTTGAGGGTAACTCCTTCGATCTCCACTTCTGATCGCTGCCAACTCGACGCTACACTAAGGTAGGAAGAGTGGGTCGCAATAGCTTTTACCCTATATGAGGGTCGGGATCGATTTTCTCAGGGAGCTAGTAGCGGAGTTGGATTGTTTGTCTATCCTAGAGATGTGTTTGTACTCCTAATGTCACTTCAAACATTTTTGGGTTTTCAAATTATAACTATTTTTGTAAAACTATTGATTAACACTAAATTAAGCTATGAGAATATTGTTAAGTTGTATCTAATGGGAAGACGGGCACTAGGGTCGTGACACTACCTAGGTGGTTAATTGACGGGTAGATGTTACTAAGGTTCAATTGACATAATTGGGACTTATGCTATAACCATTGCACAATTTTACCCACTCTCACACCTCTCCGTAGAGAGAGTGATTTTGCCCAATTGACTCTCTCGAGACCAAATGGGTAGGCAAATTAGACCAAGCAACTAGGGTTCAAGTAGGGTAATTACTCTCTCGAGGTTTAACCCGTTAATTGGGACTATCATTTCTCATGAGTCCATCCCAATTCCTTGTTGGGTCAATTTTTTGGGGTCATAGGCTCTCTTTCTCAAGAAGAGTTAAACCCACAAAGCTTGAATCAGTGTTTGCAACCACCAAAACATAAAATCAACCCAAATAGCAAACACCCATAGTCAATCTAACACTAGATGGCAACACCCATCAATTACCCACACTAGGGTTGAGCCACAACCCTAGCTAATGGGTTTAGCTACTCATGCTAGATAAAAAGATTGAAGAAATAGATGAAGAACTAAGCATATTAATTAATTGCTAAAATCAAATTACAAGAATCTATGGTAAATGTAAAGCAAAAGTGTCAAAAATGGCTACAAAATACGTTCTCACAAGCGCAGCTCTCTACTGATGTATCTGAATACCTAAAAAATGGTAAAATGTTCTATTTACTAGGCTGGAAAAACTGGACAAAAATACCCCTGCGGGGTCAGTGCGGACCGCATTAAATGGATCGCAGCTGCACTGGGCTTACTTTTGCTTCTCTGAACTTGAACTCCGCGGACCGCGTAGAACGGACCGCGGCCGCGGAGGGAGCTGGCGCGGTCCGCACAACCACGACTGCAGACCACATGGCACTGGCTTTGCAAACTTCATCTCTCTAAATCTCATGACCGCGGACCGCACAAAATAGTAGTGCGGCCGCGGAGCCTTCTAGCATGATTCACCAACTCTCTGAACCACCTAGTGTGGCCGCATTCCACTTTGCGCGGTCCACACTAGGCCTTCTTTTCTTAAATTTCTTGGTCTTTGATACTTGAGCAGGTTTCACTACGTTTTGAGCCGATCTTTGATATTTCATCACTTTGTTGATCAAATCTGCGATCAAGCACAACTTGTGAGCCTTTTAGGTATATTTTGTAACAATATATGATCAAAGCATAGGCAAGTAGGGGCATAAAACATGTTAAAATCCTAACTTATCAACTCCCCCAAACTTAAACCTTTGCTTGTCCTCAAGTAAACAAAATAAGACTCACCCCTTAAAGGAAAATCCAAGTAATTCTAGTTGTCTTAAAGTAACCTCAACAAGCATCAATTTGGGACTAACAATTGCCCTCAATACGAATGGATCATTAACAAAATTTAAACTTTGAAAACTATGGATCAAGTGTGACACAAGAGCATCAAGAAGTGACTCATTACATAAAAGAACTCTCTCAATTACTCTGGTCGTTGTGGACCCCAAACTCACACATCCTCAACTCTCCCTAAGCAAACCTCACCTTTTTA